GAACAGAAAGCAAGTCAAGCTTGGTAATTTTAAAGGTCCTAGGATCTTTGTCCTCCCCAGTACCTGACTGTCTGCCTTAAGGAGAAGTCCTACAAGTTTCAGCCAAGTCTTGTCTTCAGTAGAGCCTTGGGAACCTTCACATAAAGTACTTGTTGTTAATGGAATCACCAGCCCTGCAGTAGCAGTGCACGCCCACAGTCCTGCCAGGGCCTCCTGGTAGCTGCAGTGTACTTCCTGGCCCTTGACTTTGGGATTGGTCCTGTGCCTTGTGCCAGTCAGTGGATGTTAGCAGACATGATGCAGGCAGAGACTTCCAGGGTTACCTTTCTGTGCTTCTGTCATCACTACGATGGCGACTGTGCCTTCCACACTGGCTCCCAAAGTGAACACTGGAGCAGACCAATGCTGGCCAAGCTGCAGACAGCCGGTAGCCCACAGCACAGTCCCTTCAACCTACCTGCAAACCAGCAGTTTACCTAGAAAATGAAATTTTTTTTTGAATGACCCTAAAATTGGGGACTTGTTCATTATTTGGCCATAGCTAATTGATGTAACATCTGTCATAACAGATACTCTAAGGAATAAGGCAGAGCTATCTAAGCTATATGCTGGAGACTGTGTAACTAAATTAACAAAATGGCCTCATTAGAAACTGGTCTATTCAATAATCCTGTTGATCATCAAAGAAGCATTAATAAAAGGGGCTCTAATCTATTTATCATATAAAGCCCTAAATCATTTTGGAAAAAAGAATATAAGCAAAAATTACTGTAATTACTACTGCTGGAAGGCTTAAGTATTTTCTTCCAAAGGGATGCACACACATTTTTTAAGTAATGAGAAGGGGGAGACAAAGTGTTTTGAAATGTTTTTCCAACAAAGACTAAATAAATTCATCCTGCCAACCACCAGTCTGCAAGAGAGGCAGCTGTGCACAAAATGGATTTTAATCAAATTCAGATGAAATCACCATTTCAAAGTATTCAAAGAGGTATTGTCTAGAATGTACTAAGAAGTCTCCCAATGTAAATGTTTATGCCTATATAACAACAATGCAAAATGTCACAAAACAAGTGTGTATGGGCATATTCTTTTCAGATTCAAAAGCTCATTACAATTGGGACGTTGCTACCTTAGGCTGAATACTCAGACTCTCACACCTGCTCTATTTTAAGAGTGTTCCAGACCTGGAACTTCTCAGAAGAAAGTCAGAGCCAGACAGCAAGGAGGGAAGCTACAGTGGACAGCAACACCAACACTCACTGGCTTCTACGGGCATCACAACAACCCTGATACTTCACAGATACTAAATCAAACCCAAGAACCATGTTTTATCTCAAAAAGCATTCTTAGGTGAGAGAAGTGGCATATAAAATTTAAACAGTGCAGGCTGCTGCTGTTATGTGCTGAGATCTGACCACAATCCTCATCGTGGCTTTTGTAGATCATAAAGTAGCCTGAAGAAGTTATAATGAACAATACGGTTTTTATGCAATGCTCATATTTGCTCCATGTTCTATCTATGAAAAAAGATATTAAAGACCAAGATTTATAACCTGGTAGAATTATGCTTTAGTACCTGTGAGAATAAGCACATCTGTCTGTTTCATACGAACGCTCTTTATTACAGCCAGGCGCTGTCTGTATGTTGCCACCTTTCCCTACCACACTATCCCTCTGCTGGCAGCTTAAATTTTGCTGGCTGGTCTTTGTGATCACTGATAATATTTTTCTTATCAAGGATGTCTGGGACAACTTTCTAACAAGGAATGCAAAATACATTAGCTGAAAAAAGTAAAAGAAACATGAAAACCAATTAGGAAAAATATTATTGATAAGATATTAAAAACGATTATATCATGGTACATTTTTAGAATTTTTTCCACCATAGAAGGTGCCTGCCAGACAGGATAGTGACAAAGCAGTGACTAATTTTAATGGCGTCCTCATCATAGAGTTAAAGCCTATTGAGGCAATGCAGTGTGCATGTTTTGGGCAGGGAGCGGTGCTACGAAGCCACTAAAACGTTAAGAACTGCCTCAAAAAGCCTCTAGTGGCCCAAAGCAAAGAAGGCTGGACCCCAGGCTGTGGATAATGCATTCCCTAACTTCCTGCTGTGACACCTGTGACAAAAACCGGGAAAAGAAAAGGGATAAAACTGCAGAATCGGCTAAGGAGCTGGTCACCAGCTCTGACAGAGGAAGGAGGGCAGCTCGGCACTTCCTGGCCAAAGGGAGATGGCACGTTGCTGGGTGGGGTAACCTTTGATGCTGTCACCAACTAGGAACATACATGAAGAAAGGGCCACAACATTTAATGATGCGCATTATCCAAAGATTTCACCAGTTTAAAAAATGGTCCTTCCACACCCGGCCTTAAATGACCAGTTTCACAGAATGTGGACTCACCCGCTTGAGCCCAGCTTTCAGGGAGAGCCATGGCAGGCCAGGTACGGACCTGGGGAAGAGTGGAAGGAGCGAGACAGAGAGGGGCGTCTCCTCACTCCCGAGATCACACACCTGAGAAACAGAACAACAGCAGGACAACTACAGTCGGATGAAATAAAAAAATAAATATAAACATGTAACCTGATTCCTCACAGAGAACAAAGCCTCTCACAGAGGAGGGAAGTGACAGCTGATGGGACCTCACGGACACAGCAGACCCACCCAGGCTGAAGGGGCAGGAACTCTCCTTAAAAGGCCAGCCAACCCACTGGTTCAGGAGGCTGTGAGTGACCACTAGGGGACAGGCCACAGGGAGAGCAGCCAGGGGAAGAGCTGAAGGCCCTCTGAGGTGACCATTCATTTGACAAGACAGCGGACAGATGCCACGGGGAAGTCAGACTCTGAGATGGAGAGCCTTTCCAGGGTAGAAATGCCATAGCTCAAAGAACTGGAACATGGTGGGGGGATGTTATGGAGAAGAGTAGTCAAAAATAAACCAATAAGTAAGGAACTGGAATAACATAGGTAAGAGGGGAATAGCGGAGAAGAAAGAAGGAAAAGGCTGAGGCGGAAGACACGTGGGGCGTGCAGCCCTATCTAGACTCCGTGTATCACAGTGCCGGGAAGACATTCCAGATCCAGACTCCTCACAGGCATGGATGCATCATTAATGTGCCCAGCTACACAGCCGTCCTAGAGGACGTCAGTAGAGGCCACTGCCAGTCTGGGCACTTTTTCAGGCAGCACAAATTAGGGTGCTGGAATCCAGCAGACAGATTCCCAAGTAAAAACACTACAAATCCACATGCAGCCAAAACCACAAGCAGTGCTTTAACATCTCACTGCTAATGAGGGGGACCCAAATTTACAAGCCTGAGTTTCAAGAAAGTGAAGCAAGGTGGTGATAAAGAAATTTCCTCAGTGCTCTGCCATCAGCCACTTTTATTTCATTGTAGATGGTTAAACGATTTCCATTCTCCATTGTGGAGGTCAGCACTTTTCCAGGTCCAATTCAGTCAGCTCCACCGAGATAGTCACGTTCCTTTAACTGTTTTCACAATGCTTATGTTATTCATGACCTCAAATAACAGGTGACGCATCTTTACAAGTCCCCTCCCTAGAGTCGTGTCAAATATGAGATAAGCCACAGAGCCTCATCTTGAGAATTGAAAGTCAGTTTCCAGACCTCAGGGGCTACATTCTGACTAGCTGGATGACACAGTGGGCTGGTGGGTAACTGGACATGCGGTGCTTCTGGAAGGTTCTCACGTGAACCATTTCCTGAATCCAATGCAAGTTTTTTTTGTAAGAAGACAAGTTCTACTGTTAAATTGTTCTTCTCTGGAACAACAACACACCTGAACTCTGTTAAAGCATGGCATTTAATCACGTCAAATCGTGCACGCGGAGGAGGTGTGTTTAGAGAACGTGTGCGTGGGAAGAAAACACAATCTTCCCTCACCAGTGCGATGTGGGTGTTCAGAAGGACGAGCGACTGACACTGGCCATGGCCAGACGCACCCTGGACCCTCACCGTCGTGTAGAGCAACACCTGGACCTCCGACAGAGAAAGGACGGCGTCTTCCATGTTTCCATGAAGAAAGTAAATTATGTCAACCAAGGTCGTCTGGAATTTGGATGACAACCGAACTCCATTTGCCAAAACTAAATCAGGGATTTCTGCTTTCCAATCAAGAGACAGCTGAACCAGATCTTGCCAGAGCAAAGGATGATGCATGTAGGCAGTGGCATCAGACTCTGGCATCAAGACACAGAGGAGGTCACGACACAGCTGCTGAGTGAGGGCTTTGTTGAAACTGAACACAGCGAGCAGAAGGTGCCCGGCAGAGCTGAGGAACCGAACGCTCTGCCCACAAAAGCCAATCTGAATCTCCTGTAGCTCCGGGAGAGGCAGAGCATGAAAACTGTGCCCTGAGTCAGAGTGATTAACAGACAGGACCAGAGCATATAAGGTCGACCCCAGCAGGAGCAAACATGCTGGCTGAGGGTCAGGTTCTGCGCAGTTAGCGACAGCAAGCCAGTAAATGCCTTTGACTTCGTCTGTGCTGCCCAAAGGTTCTGGTAGAGAACAAGTCACATGCTCAAGAAGATGTTTTAAAGGGCAATCCTGAAGGCACAGCACTTGGCCTGGGAATTGCACGAGAGTCTGCTTCAGTGCAGAGATCTTTCTAGCATCTTCATATTCAAGGCGGAACACCAAGCTTGGCGAGGAGCCTGGTGGACCTGCAGCTGTGAAGGCAGAGACCAGGGAAGGAGTGGCACTGTCCGCCGGCTCTAGGTTCCCTGTCTCTGGGCTCTGGCTACTGCCAGCATGGGAGTGAGGAAAAAAACGAGATTCTGCTGACTGCATGTGAGACTTCAAGGGCACATCCAGAGGTAAGTGCTGTAGGAATGGCATTTTTCTTACGAATGTTGCCATGTGGGAGGAGAGCCCACGTGGGGTGCAAAGGCTCCCCACAAGCCGGGCATGGCTGATCACCTTTGTGCCAGCCTGTAGCAGGTGACTGCTGGTGTCTTTATAAAGGTCTGAGAACTTGTGATAAAAATGTCCCAGCCCGATGTTTCCCTCTGTCCTGGCACTCCTCAGTGACTCTGAAGAGCTGACCTGTTTAGCAGCTAACTCTTCTTCATCTTGCGGTTCACTAGAACACTGGGAGGCCGGTCCATCCCGAGGAACACTGCCAGGTGCACCCTCCTCCCGAGAGATGCTTTCAGAGAGGACGAGGCAGAGCACCTGGGTCTGCCTGGCCTGCTGGCTTCCACCTGTCCTAGACACTCCCTGGGACATGTGCTGCAGCAAGGTCCACCGGCACTCAGTTCCTGAGCTGTGTTCATCTTCTCGTGTCACTGACTTACCCTGAAAACCTTCTGCATCACTGTCATAACTTTCAGTAAGAGAAGAGATTTTAGGGAGGTTAAAACACTTTGGTTCAAAATGGCCAGCATGCTCAGGACGATGACGTTCGCAGCCACTGTCCTGCCACACCTCAGACACTGAGGACTGCCCCATTGGCTGGTCGATTCTCTCTTGTGATGCTGAGGAAGAAATTTTAGAGCCTGGGATCCTCTGCGTCATGGGAGGATTCCAGCGGCTGTCCTGATGGACCTTTCTCCTCTCCTGTTGAAGGGCACCAGAAGTGTCAGCAGCATCTCTGGGTGGAAGTGGGGCTAGATGCCGCACTGGGCACGATAGCCTTTTCTGTTTAAGGTGTCAAGAAAAGTTGAGATGGGATGTGGCATCACATTCTGCGATTCTTTTGCACATGATGATTTTTGTAGTCATTGGTTTCATTGGCTGGATCAATTTAGAGGTTAAATCAAAAGCCTACCAGGGGTGTCCAACCTGTGACCCATGGGCTGCCTGCTGATTTTGGCTTATCTGTGGTGTTGGATATCATGAAAAGTATGCACGCACCTTTTTTTTTTCTTTTCTTTTTTTTTTTTTTTTGCTAATCAGCTTTTGTTAGTGTTTGTGTATTTACTATGTGGCCCATGACAACTTTTATTCTTCCAATGTATAGTAGAAAAGAGGTTGGACATCCCTGAACTATTTGTATTTATATATGATTTCAGAAGAGATGATCTGATTCACACATAGAGCATCGATTTTCTGTATTAAATAGTTTATAAATCACTGAGGACTGGACAGAAATACACTGGATGGGACTGATACACAGTATCCATTTCTTGGTCTAATATTTCATTTTCTGTATAATAAATCTCAAGACCTTTGATTCCACGTTTAAAAGTTCCAATTTAACTGTGAAAGTAAACCCATGGTCCAAAATGTAAAATAAATCAAGGAATACTTAATGACAATCTGATGGCAAAGCCAAAAGAAATTCAAGAGTATTCTGACTCAGGTCAGGTTTCTCTCTCCTTCAGGTTCCTTTCATAGAAATCCTTAATTGTGCCTTCCCTGGTTAGACCATCATTCCTGTTATCTAGAAACCCTCATCTGGGCAGGCTTACTGCTTCCTGCCACAGGCCAGGCACTATAGACACAAATAAATAAGAGCCAGCGTCTTGCTCTGCATGGGGTCACCTGCTAAGGAGATGGGTATCCAGAGGGAGAGCATGTCCTTCCAGGGGACTGGCAGGAGGGGACGGCTACAGACAAAGGTCGCAAACCTACTGCTGAACAGCCACCCTCTTGTTCTCTGCTTAGTAAGGTATGGACACCACCTAGCTGTTTTTGTTCTTGGGTTTTTCAATTTAGGGATCTGTGGCAAGGACACACCCCTTAGTGGAGGAAAATACAAGTAAAACCATACAGATTGTATGCCCAAATAAACCTCAGTTTGATAATCCACCAGAGAAATGAACTAATCGGCCAAGAGCAGTTCCTTTGAGCTACTGCCAACTCCTAGTCTATAAAATGAACAGTGTTTCAAAAACATGGAGAAGTACTCAGTTTACCTTCCAAACCCCTTATCTGATTCTGATTACAGAATTCTGCTTTTAAATGCAGACCAAGGGAAAGGATACTGTTACCAATGGAAAACTGGGCAAAGCTCCACACAGCTACATGCCATTCAGATAAAGTCAAAGCAGTTCCCACCCTTACGACTCCGTTTAATTTTAAGTTCATATAATAGCTTGCCATCCCTATTAGCCATTAATCTCCCTGGGACTTCAAAATTCTAATTACGCAACTAAACATTAAGAAAATTTAATCACATGAACATGCCATAATTTAAGGCAACCCTATCAATCTGAAAAATCATTACCCACCTCATATTTCAGCTTACGTTGAATGGTGCCATTGTGGAGTTTCTCATTATTCTGAAAAGAAAATAAAAAGTCCTCTATATTAAATTATAGCAAGTTCACAGAAAGGGGGGGATGATTCAATTAGAAGTATTTATGGAAATAAAATTCTAGATAAACATACTTGTCATTCAACAAAGAAAACCCTTCTATATAATTTAGATTCCCGAGGTAAACATGTCCACTTATTTATAAGAAAATGGAATCATTTACCCACAATCTTACAATTTCAAGAATGCTGTTAAAAACAAGATTTCCTTAGGACAGTTCTTAATTTATAAGACAGAAAGGAACAAACTGATTTTGACAAAAATCAACTTGTCACAGATATGTACTTTCTCAAAGGCAAAATTATGTTTATACTTTGGAATATTTACAAAGTAAATTAAATACATATGAGAACTGGTAGTATTTTGGGAGAAAGAAAAATATTACATGTAGAATTTCTATAAAATTTTTATAAATCAAACAAAGTAAAATGTTTTAGGAGAACTTATCTTTGCTTAAAGAGGTTTTCTAGAATTACAAAATTATAAAATGTTACCCTTGAAGAAAAATTATTTGTAAACTGTTAAGCTTTGCCAAGATAATATATAACATTTTTTCTAGAATATTCTACATCTGAATTTTGTCACTGAAAAACAACAAAGACACCCCCCACCACCACCACCACCACAACTTATCTGCAAAGTCATTTTGAAAAATAAATGAATGCATTACTTGATTGCAAATCAACCAGCTCCCTCAGCTCACCTTGGTCGCGTCTACAGATACACCGTGGTCTTCATCCATCACACGGTGCAGATCCTGGAGACGTCTTTGGACTTCTTCTTCAATGTAGGCATTGATCCTGAGAACAAGGGAAATGGGTGTGTTAGGGTTTGTGTTTGTTTTATTATGCTTCACTTTATTGAGCTTCATGAGTGCATATTTTACACATCAAACGTTTGTGACAACCCTGCATCCCTCAAGCAAGTCTACGGTGCATTCTTCAAATGTGCTCACACGTGTCTGCCGTGTTTTGGTCCTTCTCACAGTAGGAAACGGGGAACTTGAATGCCCACTACCAGACGGACACTCGGAGAGCCTCTTTTTCTGTTCCCCTCACAACATGGAGCCTTCTCATTCTAAATGCCAAACATAACAACTTGAACCTTAAACATATTTCTTTTTTTAGAAAGAAATCTAGGGCCACATGTTCATTATCTGGGTTTTCTCCAAACAAAACAGGACAAAACAAATAAGAGAATAGTGGGAATGGAAAGGAGATGAAGCAATCCCATCAACACCTTTTCTGGATTTCCTGAGTGGAACTCCACTGTAGGTGAGGGGAAAACCACAGTCACTGGGTTCAGAAGGCTCTGCGGTCACAGCTCTGCCTCTGAAACAAAACAATTCATTCACGGGGCTTTGGTTTCCTCACACAGAAAAGGATAGTAACTTCTCACATGGCAAGGTTATTTCTGAGGATTACAAAAAAAAAAAGAAAGAAAGAAAAAAAGAAAAAAGGAGGTGGATATACTCTCTAGGATCTCACTATTCAGTCGTACTGTTAAGAATTGATTTATCTGATTGCTGTAAGCCACAGAGCAATTCACACCACCACCTAAGCTGAAAATCAAAACTTTATCTATTTGTAATTAATGACACGTAAATTAAGTGTCAACACAAGGTCCTTCTTCTTGGCTCAATTTAATTGATTCTATGTCTTTGTTCTAGTCCACTTGGCCTTGCATCATTTCATTCTGATGAACTGGTTTCCCTGAACCTTTTAATTCTAAGTTCTCATGCAAACTACAATTGACCCTTGAACAACAAAGGTTAGAACTGCATGGGTTCACTAACATGTGTTTTATTTACCCCAATAAATACAGCTGGCCCTTCCTTTTGGTGGGTTCTATATCTGCAACCAAACCATGGATCAAAAATATAGAATTCATAGGGTGTCCAACTTTCCCTAACCTCCAGCTTTCCTAACCCCTACTTGAGCATGCATGGATTAGTATCCAAGGTTGCTCCTGGAGCCAATCCCCCAGATACTTGGATGACTGTACCGCATAAAGATTCCTTGGATTTGGCAGACTAGTTCTTGAGCCCTTAACTTCCTTCAAATGACCTCTCACACCCCGGGTAAGGCAGCAGCTGCCCAAGACTGAGCACATCTCAGGTGCATATCTTACATGCTGCCTTGATAAAGCCCTCCTTCCACATGCAAACTGGCCAATCCAGGCACAGTGAGTCATTAAATTACATCAAATGAAAATCATGGAATCAGTTGAATGTTCAGTACCTGGCATCCATCAGGGGGCCCAGGTGAGATTTTTCAGCAGTGAATGGCAAGCTGGAAGCAGCAGCCTTCCCCTCCAGGGTCCCATGATGATCTTTCTGAACACCATCAACGTCATAAATCTTCTGCTTCAGCTGCTGGATTTCATATTCTAACCTATAGAGATGGGAGCCACATCATCCATTCATTGGCAGCATTTCCTAAGCATCTTCACTGTGGGAGATATGGCTTTAGAAACCATGAGGATTACAGACAAGAAGCTATATAAGAAGCTCTATAAGGAGCTGCACACCTGTAAGACCAAGATGTATGCCAATAATGGGCCATATGAGGGGTCCAGGATAAGCATTGTGGTATACAAAAGTTGGAGAAGGTCTGAACATCAAGAACACAGACATTCCCAATTACAAGTCCTCAGAGGTAAACACACAGGATTCTGAGTTCTCTAACTCCTGCTCCAATAGGAGTGGATTGTCGATGACCTATCAGGGTTCCATTACATATTTTGGCTCAACAAAAGAGAGCTGTGCTTTCCAGAGTTTTTAAAAACTGCCAATCTGGGAAGAACTTCACAGTTAAGGCAATTTTATGTTGAGTCTTCAAAAGCCAGTGGGAATGTGGGCATTTGGAGATGATGATAGATGACCAAGCAGAGAAAGCAGCATGAGCCACGGAAGGCATGAGAGCGTGTGGGGAGGGGAAACGGAGGAGAGAGGAGACAGACCTGGGGGAGCAGGCTGATTCCATGAGAAATTAAAATAAACTATAAACTATGAAATCAAAAATTTACCTCCAGTGATAAATAACACGTTATATGAAGTCAGTGTATGGAAGAAAGTTCTCCTGTGATGGGTAATCTGGGGCCATCAGGCTAGGGGGCCAAGCTAGCCAGTAAATTTGGCCCCAGGTAACATAGACTATAGCTTACTCACCCATTTGCTGGGTGAATCTGGGCAAGTTATTGAAATCCATGTCTCAGTTCCTTCACAGATCAAACAAGAGTCAACTAATCTCTCAATTCCTTCTGCTCCAAAAACCAGAGATTCTTGCTTCAGATACTGACACACTCGGATGCAGCCAGCCATCTGGTGTCACCAGCAGCAATCTCCCACTGTATCCTGTGATCACTCGTCTGGAAAGCACTCCTGGGATCTGCAGGAGGCAGCGCCCCGCTTAACCCAGCCCTTCATCTGCCTCCTGATCGGCTGATACTTCCTTGGCATCAGCTTCCCAGGCATGTAGTGTTTTCATAACAGGTGAAAGTAAGTGACAAAAAACAATGTAAGGAGCCAGGTGGGAGGCAGAGGATCAGGGAGCAGTATTAACAGGGTCTCAGCAGTGGCAAGGAAAACCAGCAGGGTGTACACAGGTAATTAGCCACGTTTACATTAGGGTGACCAGATTTTAACACTTGTAAAGC